ATCTTTGGACCAATAGAGGAGAGATCTAAAGTTAGCACACAGCTTCAGTCGCTTCAGCTAGAAACCACTGATCAGGCCCGAAGTCTAGGTGTAGTGCTGGATTCAGACTTGAACCTCCAAAAGCATTTAAAGACAATTACAAGGTCGGCTTTCTATCACCTGAAGAACATTTCCAGGATTAAAGGACTAATGTCTCAGCATGATCTGGAAAAAATAATCCATGCGTTTATTTTTAGTCAAATTGATTACTGCAACGGTGTCTTCACAGGTCGTCCTAAAAAGTGGATCAGACAGCTGCAGCTGATCCAGAACGCTGCTGCCCGTGTCCTCACTAAGACTAAAAAAGTAGAGCACATCACCCCAGTTCTAAAGTCCTTACACTGGCTCCCTGTATCTCAGAGAATAGACTTTAAAATACTTCTGTTAGTCTATAAATCTCTGAATGGCTTAGCACCTAAATACATCACAGACTTGCTATCGGTGTATCAACCCTCCAGACCACTCAGGTCTTCTGTCTCCAGCCTGCTCTGCATACCTAGAACCAGAACTAAACATGGAGAAGCAGCATTTAGTTCCTATGCTCCACTTATCTGGAACAAACTTCCAGAAAATTGTAAAAGTGCGGAAAGCCTGAGTTCCTTTAAATCAAGACTAAAAACACATTTGTTTAGGATTGCCTTCGACTATTCTAGTTAAACAGTTCAACAAAAACATGTTTTCTTTAATCCAACTGTTTTTAATATCCTTTTCTGCATTTTTTTATTTTTTATTTTATTTTATTTCTTTTTTTATTTTTTTCCTACTTGCTTTGATTCTGTTTTATCTTCCTGTATTTTAATCATGTAAAGCACTTTGCATTGTCTCTGTACTGAATTGTGCTATACAAATAAATTTGCCTTGCCTTGCCTTGCCTTAAAGGAATGAGAGTTTATTTCAATGTTTTGAGCGAACTTGATCAAGACTTCTCCAGTGAAGATCTCTGTTCATTCATTTTTTTAATTGGCCATTTGTAACCAATGGTGTAATGGTTGGCTGCTCTGATACATCACTCACTCATGTTTTTAGTATTTTTGTTTTTCGTGCACTCTTCTACTTGTTAGGATCATTTTATTGATTATGATAACCCCAAGCTAATTCTCTGAGTACGATAAAAAATTTATGTCAAAAATCTGTTTTCCTGTCTCATGCATATTTAATAGCTATATTGGACAAATATATACAAAACTCAAATATAAAAACACTTTGGAGAGGAATGAGTATCCTTTAATTGGATTGGTGAAGTCTGTGTTCATTCATATTGAGGTGGCATTTATATTTTGTAAGGTATCTAACCTGGAGTTTTTGTTAAAATACTGTCAGTAACATTAACAATATGATTACAGCTAATGTTACTTCTGTGAATTGATTAAAGCAAAACTGCATAACCTTTAACATAGCCTTTACCTTCATGTGAGGCATATATCAAATTATTTGGTCAATAAATGGCACTTGGCATAAATTGGTGCTCTGTGTGTACTGCCCTTCTCATAATCTTTTTTAACCTTAGCATGATCTGCCACAGACTGAGTAAGTAAGCCACTCTACACTTGAAACTTTATATCCTACTGTTGCAGTGTTGCTGTTATGTTCTTCATCTCATGGTAAGACAAACAGCTTTTCAACAGCCTTAAATAAATCCATTTGTTTCAGTGGCCACATCCATGTGTAGCTCTACCCATAGGTGAGTAGAGAACATGAGGTTTATTACATGGTATAGCCAGCAAAAATGACGGCAAAGAAAACCTTCTCAGATCAGGAAAGGAAAAGGAAATGAGAAACAGATTGGGAAAGGGCTCCAACAAGAGGGAATTAGGGAAAGGCATTTCTGTTAGCTGCAACAATGAAATGTGATGCAGACTTGGCAATGTTGTTAAGTCTATGAGCTAACCTCTCAAGGGTTACCATTCTAACTTTAAAGTGGTTGAGTTTCAGTGTGCCACAATAAATCATGAAGAGGCTGAATCACCTTATCAGGGCATTTAAAACACTGGTTACTCTAAGGCAGACATGTTTAAAAGTAAATATTTTCAAGGAAAAAACCTCCAACTTTTTTGACATTGTTATTTACATCATCCAGCTTCTTAGGATGTGAGGGCGCTGTAGCTAAGGAAAAGCGGCTTGTAGAGGAGAGTCAGTGTTTGCAACAGTGCTATTTTCAGAAGTTCCTGTAGGGGGGCACCACTCAAAAAATATTTAGAGCTACTTAGTCCATTGAAAATTGTATTTTCTCCTCTTATTTATTGCAGGTGTTTTCAGAACGTTAAGTAAAAAAAATAAAAAATAAAACTTACAACTGCTATATTACTGTTCCTTTCTAGGTGGGAAAACCAGTATTTGTGCTCAGGGACCCAAATAGCTTGCAACATCCCTATCTTGGCTTTTACCTGAAAATATGCCATCAGATTCCCCTGTAATGCTAGAATGCTGAGTCTGACCTCTATTTTCTTGGGTAATGAAGGACTGTTCAGAGTGCTGCTGTTATCATTCTGGTTTGTTTGAGCCCTTTTAGAGTTATGTAAACATCACAGCCGTGATAACTTTTTTTCCTTGGCATTTCTTCATTCATCCTAAACTCCTACAACCAAATGAACATATAGAAAACATTTTGTGTAAAAGCAATAGGCGTCATGATTTTGGAGCTGATGGCTGGCTTGATTGCTCATTTCCTGCAACTATCTAGTAGAGACTGACATTTTTTCGGGAATCCCAGGGGTCACGGGATTCCCGTGGGATTACCGTGGGATGGGAGTCAGTATTAGTAACGATCACATGATTGGGACGGTACAAGGTTAAACATTAACGGGAGCAGACGGGAGCGGGAGCAAACCAATAGTAACTAAAAAACCTAGGATCGATGCCAAAAAATAAAATAAAATAGAAAGAAAAAAATCTAGTACTGGCGCCGCCATTTTGTAGTTTTTTTCCTTGAAGCCTACACTATAATGCGAGTCAAAAAAACTACACGACCCAAAAACCAACAGTGCTTCCGCTCTGAGTTTTTCACCTGCGCTTAAAAACAATGGAGGGACCAACAGTTACTACAGTTAGAAACAGGAACTTAACTAAACCTTCATAGAAATTCAGATTCAATGTATTGGCAGAAATCTTATTGAAGACAACAAGGACGGGAGTGGTGCAGGAGCGGGAGTCATTCTGAATGGGAGCGGGATGGGAGTGGGAGTAATTTCACCAGGAGTGGGACGGGACAGGATTTAGATTTCTACTCTAGCCTGGGATCGGGACGGTACACAATATTTTTCTGTGGGAGTGTGACGGGACAGGAGTGAAAATCCACTCCCGTGTCAGTCTCTACTATCTAGCTCTACCCTGTTCCTCATCGGATCCACCTATTCCAGTTTCCTATTTAAGGTCCAGGTTTCCCAGCCAACAGTGCCAGATAATTTTTGAGCCTTTGTTAAAGAGAGCTGTCTATCAGGGTTCTGATTATCTGATCCTGACCCGTTTTCCCCTTCTGACCGTTGAGCCTGCCTGCCCCCTGTCTTGTCAGTTTTACCTGTCTGTCTCCTGTCAGCTCTGCAGGCTTTCACAGTCTGTAACTTTCTGGCAGCTCGCGCTGCTTTGGTTCAGTCTACTGGCTCTAACCATCCCCGTTCTTTGGTCACTGGACTGAACTGTTTAACCAGGTTAGTGGCTTGCGTGTACATAATCATCCTACATCTGATTATTGCAGTCACTAATCTGTATTTTTCTCTAACCAGAGTTTCCAGTGATGGGCGGTGCCCCGCCACAGCCGCTGAAGATCCACGGCCCGCTTCAGTAATCTGTATTTTAATAAAACAGCTTGAATTATCCCACTGTCTGTCTTACCTGAATACTAGGTCCTACGTTCTAGCCTTCTAACAATAGGTTTCTTTGATGGATTTTATATCAAAAAGCTGTCTTCTAGTTGTAAACTGCTGAAAGGTCGGTCAGGAGGGGCTTGGATACAGGAAAGGTACAGGTATGGTCAACTCATTGAACAGAAGTCCTGGTTCACTGAGAGGTACAGTTTGGAAGTGATGGTACTGGATACCATTACACATACAGTAAAGCAGTGTATTAACACACATCGATGAGTGAAAACCTCTACCTTCAGCTCCTATCTCAAGTCTGCACACACTGCTCAGAGGCTGTCCCTCTGAATATTGTAATGCTGGAGCAATGTATTTTTCATTTCAGAAGCAAACTGTTATTTTGAAAAAAGAAAAAAAAATTGTGAAACATACCACACTTTAGCGAAGCTAAAAACTAGAGCAGACTATAATTTCCTCAGTTTTTATCCTTTTTTTACAGCATGAGCACAAATTTGCAGATGGAACTGCCCTTCATTTAGAACAATCTAGAAAACTATCCATACCCTTACTTCTTGAACCCTGAATATTGGCTAAAATGCATAACAAAAGCCTGCACAGAACCAAAAAAAGTTTTGTTTAGTTTGAACAAAGAGTTTACATTTATAAATCCCCAAAAAATGTCATTAGGTGCATTGAGTCGTTTCATTATAATTTCAAGTTGCAAATTTAAAAAATATTGCTAATTTCTAAATAAAAAAAATATTGTTGTGCTGTTTTTCTTCATTTGCATTCTGTTGACTTGCTCCTTATTTACTCATGGCTTTCCCACATAATGCAAAATAAAGAACTTTGGATTATACAATTTTTTTTAAGCAGACATCCCCAAAGTTGGTCCTCGAGGGCCGCTGTCCTGCAGGTTCTAGAGGTTTCCCTACTTTAGCACAGCTGATTATGATGATTGCAGTTGAGCAAACGCCTGTTAATCAGCTTTCAATTAAAATCAGCTGTGCTGGAGCAGGGATACCTCTAAAACCTGCAGGACAGCGGCCCTCGAGGACCGACTTTGGGGATGCCTGCTTTAAAGCATCTTTCAAACCATGTCCACATGCTGCAGAAATGCAAAGTGTAAAATAGATTTTTTGTTCACTCACTCAATAAAGCACTATATTTATTATTTATCTCTTTTTATTACAAACTGAAAAGCTCTTCTATTTTACAAGAAGACATTGTAAAATCTCTATTTAACAGATACCTTTTTCATACAATTAGTTTTCAAACATACTTTAGGCCAAAGTTTGCTATCTAAACCCAAAACCAAGCATTTGTTGAATTTACATTATCTACATATTACTATATAAGAACTGCAGAAAACCTTATACATACTCCAAAGCAGCTGTAATATATTGAAAGACACACATTTTCATATGCTTTTTCTCTTAAGTATCTTACTTATTGTTTATGAATTTATAATGCATTTTTATTGCAGCTGTGAAAGCAGGTCCTCGCAGTTCTCAAGTCTCTCCAGTTCGTCCACCACCTCAATCAGTCGTTCGATCTTCTCTGATGGAAGCACCAGCTCTGCGTTGCTCCTGAACTTCTTCCTCAGGCTCTCACTGGTCAGCGGGTTGCGCCAGTGACCATAGAAGGTATCACAGCGTCCCTTCAGAATGTCTCCTCCTACTAGTGTCACCTGAACCTCTCCGTACATCTTGTTGAAGTTAGCAGGGTTGTCATTGGGATGCTCCAGCCGAACGCGGTTCAGCAGAGCATGCAGCTCAGGGCGGCTCATGACCCATGGGGTGAAGGATTGCACGGCCACCTCACCATCAAGGAGAGCAGTGCAGGCATTAAACTGGAAGGAGTGGCGGGCCTCATGCTCTGACTTAGGAAAAGGCCTGTTGATGTATTTAGACCGAGGGACTCTAAGCAAGATGTCCTGGACCTGATCTGACGAGAACTTTCCAGGACCAACTCCAACAAGAAGCTTATGGACAGAAGCTGCAGCATCTGCCACCCAGTGCATCCCTAGATGAGCAGGAAAGCGCTTGAAGCCCATGTCCTGCTCCTCTAACAGGAATGCATGGCCATCATTGGGGGAATCTAAAGATTGTGGCACATAATCTTCATAAAAAGCATTAAAGCCCGCCACGCCTGCAACAGCATCCAGGACCAGAGGACTGGCCTCTAGGCCTCTAGAGGCCAAGAGGGCAGCTTCAAGTCCAAGACGTGAGGCGTTACCAATGTGAAGGGGTTTAGACTGAGTGGCAGCATTAGCCATCGGGGCTCCAGCCAGAGAAGCAGCTATAGCCAAAGCATGACTGCATTGAGAGGGATCCAGAGACAAGAGGCGAGCACAGGCTGCTGCGCTTCCCATAGGACCAACAACAGTGGGAGGATGAAACCTGATAAAAGACACACAAACATCTAAATATCAAGTGAATGAACAGTATAACTATTTTAAATTCTAGGGGCATCTCATAATTATTTGTGCCCAATATTTATAGTTTAAGATATAAGAGAAAATAAAAACATGAAGATGCAATGAAAAATATATGCCTAATATTCTCAAAAGGCAAGCCTCTATGATCAATTTTCTATGGTATTAATGTATTTTCTGTGCAATCACACTTTAACTTTATGGAAATGTGTGCATAATTCTATGACAGTGCTGTCCTGTCTGAACCCTGGGTCAGCTTTAAACGTTGCAAGAAGAAGCAGTGTAAACAAAAATAGCTGTAGTTAGCCAAGTGAGCCAAAAGGAGCACAGTCCAGAGACAAACACAACTCAAACACATTAGTAAGAAAAATAGCCTTGTATTTCTGTGCTGTAGGGTGGAAAAACACTATACGATTATGAAAGGCCTTACACACTGTAGATCATTTCAGAAATGACTATACACTGTTTGTCCAACACTGGCCACCGTACTGTATTGTATGCTCGGTGACGTCACCGGTTCCTGTATTCTGTGTGAGCAGCCGTTACGGCAGTTAGTAAAGAAAAAAGCTACAGCTACACCAAACTCGTCTCTATCGTTTATGGCCGACAGAAGAAACTTTTTACATGGTGTCAGAAGCCGGACGAACCTTCTCGCCGGCGGGATTATTTTTATCTACCGCATGAGTACAGTATAGTCCGTTGTTACGCGGCGTTTTGTTTGTTAGCTACTACAACAGCTACATCGGTGGGTCCCTTTTCTTCCCCGTGATGGATGGTTTTCGCAGACCCGACCCCCTTGTTTTTAACGAAAATATCGCAGAGAATTGGCGAATTTTTGAAAGGGAGTATGATATCTTCATTGCCGCGGCACATTATGACAAGCCGGCCAAAACCCAGGCCTACATTCTCCTCAACATCGCAGGACCGGAGGCCATCGAGCGGGAGCGCTCGTTCGTCTATGCCCCAGAGGTGCGCGTTCCCGACGGCGAAGGACAGTTCAGGATTGTCTCTCCCGCCGAGTCCAGAGAGGACCCCGAATGCCTAAAAAGAAAGTTTGCTGAAATCTGCAACCCTCAAAACAACAGGACAATGGACAGACACAAGTTTCATACAAGAAACCAGAGACAAGGTGAGACTGTTGAATCATTTATCAGTGATCTGAGGATCAAAGCTAAATGCTGTCATTTCGGAGAGATAACAGACGAGCTAATCTGTGACCGCATCGTCTGCGGTGTGACCAGTGACAGTCTAAGGAAAGCTTTGTTAAGGGACAGCGAGCTTACTCTGGCAAAAGCCATCTCAATCGCCCGAATCCACGAGATGACTGAGGAAAGCAGCAAAACGCTAGCAACAGCTGCTACCAGCGTTGACGCAGTCAAGCCAGCCCCAGGTAGCTCAGCCAAACCCAAGCCGCCGTACACTCCACAGACCACAAATTGCTCAAACTGTGGAGGCAGCCATGTAGCTAAGCGGGAAAGCTGCCCTGCTTTTGGAAAACAGTGTCACAGCTGCGGGAAATCCAACCATTACAAACATTGCTGCAGATCCAAACCACACAGCCAACAAGGTAGAGCTGCTAGAAGATCTGTACATGAAATCGAGGTGGCTGAATCGTCATATGATGACGGGACGTTCTATGTGGATGGTGTAGAAATAGCTAACCAAGTGAACAGTGTTGATTCCGTGACAGCAGAGAAGGATGAGGGATTTGTCACCGTGGACATAAACAACACACGTCTTGAAATGAAAGTTGATACAGGGGCGAGATGTAATGTAATGTCACTAAAGACTTATAAAACAGTGGCGGATGGAGAACAGCTAGTCAAGCAGGGGAAAGCTGTCAGTCTCATCGCTTATGGGGGCACCAGGATCGAAACCAGCGGCATGGTTACGCTGCCATGTCGCCTAAAGGAGCAGCACCATCCCTTGCCTTTCTATGTGGTGGACAGGGAGGTGCAACCGCTGCTAGGTTTCAGGGCGTGCAAGAACATGGGCATAGTCAAAATGAGCCCTGATGTCCACCAAGTCGGCGTGGAAGGTAACACAGGCTTCAGCTCTCACATAGTAGCCCAGTACAACGAGCTGTTCAGCGACGAACTGGGCAAACTTCCTGTCGTGTACTCCATGAAACTGGACCCCAATGTGCAGCCTGTAGTGCGCCCCCCCCCACCGCGTACCTGTCGCCATGCGAGAGAGAGTCAAAGACGAGCTGGAGCGCATGCAGCGTATAGGTGTTATAACACCCGTCACCGAGCCAACTGACTGGGTCTCATCCATGGTGGCGGCACACAAGAAGGACAAGAATGAGATCAGGCTGTGCATCAATCCAAAGGACCTCAACACAGCATTGAAGAGGCCCCACCACCCAATGCGCAGCGTGGAAGAAGTGGCGGCACAGATGGCAGGAGCCACTGTGTTCTCCGTTCTAGATGCAAAAAATTCCTTCTGGCAGGTGCGTCTCGATAAGAAATCCTCAATGCTCACCACGTTCAGCACCCCGTTCGGGCGTTTCAGGTTCCTGCGCATGCCCTTCGGGATCAATTCTGCTAGTGAAGTGTTTCAGCGCTCAATGGAACAGCTGTTCGCAGGTTACCCATGTTCAGTCATTGTCGACGACATCATCATTGGCGGACGCACTGTCGCCGAACACGATGCCAATCTAGAAAAAGTCCTCACACGTGCAAGAGAAGTCAACCTCAGGCTAAACCCTGCAAAGTGCAAGTTCCGACTAGAACAGGTATCGTATGTGGGACACATCTTCACCTGTGAAGGCCTTAAGGCAGATCCTACAAAAACAGCTGCCATCAGCGCCATGCCGGTTCCCACGGATGTCACATCACTGCAGCGGTTCCTTGGCATGGTCAACTACCTCGGCAAGTACATACAAAACCTTAGCGAGATTGCAGCACCCCTGAGACAGCTCACACACAAGGAGACAGCCTGGTGTTGGTTTCAGCAGCACCAAGAGGCCTTCGACCGCCTGAAAGCCTGCCTGTCGAGCCCTCCAGTCTTAGCATACTACAACGTTGAGGAGCCAGTCACACTCACCTGTGACGCGTCGTCCCATGGTCTAGGTGCTGCATGTCTACAACATGGCAGACCAATAGCCTTCGCGTCTCGTTCCCTTACCGACACCGAAACACGGTATGCCCAGATCGAAAAAGAGCTGCTGGCTGTCGTCTTCGCCTGCACTAAATTCAGAGACTATGTTTACGGAAAGCCCATTATAGTGGAAACAGACCACCAGCCCTTGGTCACCATCGTCAAGAAGCCCATCCACGTCGCCCCTGCCCGGCTACAGAGGATGCTGCTACGCCTGCAAAGCTACAACTTCAGCCTGGTCTACAAAAAGGGTAAGCACATGTATCTTGCAGACACCCTCTCCAGAGCTCCATGCACAAAGACCCCACAGAGCCAGTCCGAGGCCACGGAGTTTGAAGTCATGACCGTCGAGTGCATCTCCACGGCCCGTCTGGAGGAGCTGAAAAGGCACACGGAGCAGGACGAAGTGCTGCAAACCCTCAGCAGAGTCATCAACAGAGGATGGCCACCCAGAGAAGGACAACTCCAGGCTTCCATTGCGCCTTTCTTTCCCTTCAGAGACGAGCTCAGTGTGGAGGATGGTGTCATCAGGAAAGGCCACAAAGCAGTCATTCCCCGCACCCTACAGAGAGAGTACATCAACATCGTTCACAAGGGCCACCCGGGTGTCGACGCCACCAAACGCAGAGCCAGAAGCGTCATCTTCTGGCCCGATATGTCGAAGGACATCGCAGAGGAGTTACTCTCATGCACGGTTTGCAACAGCACTGCACAACATCAGCAGAAAGAACCCCTCACACTACACCCCGTCCCAGAGCTCCCATGGTCCACAGTGGCAGCTGATATTTTTGATTGGCACGGGAAGCACTACCAGGTCCTCGTGGATTCCTACTCTGGCTGGTTTGAGGTGGACCTCCTACACGACATGACATCGGCGGCAGTGATAACAAAAATTAAGAGACATTTCTCTGTGCATGGTGTGCCACACATACTGCTTACTGACAACGGTCGCCAATACACTAGCCAGCAGTTCCAGGAGTTTGCCAAACAATGGGACTTCACTCACACCACCAGCAGCCCCGAATTTCCACAATCAAACGGGCTTGCAGAGAGGGCCGTACGGAGTGCTAAGCAACTCATGGAGAAGTCTCACAGAGATGGATCTGATGTCTTCCTTAACCTGCTGAACCTGAGAAACATTCCCCGTGACATTATGCTGGGGTCCCCAGCCGAACGCCTCATGTCCAGACAGACTCGTGCTGATATCCCAGTGAGCAGTGCACTGCTACAGCCCGTCGCAAGAAACTGCAGGCACATCCACAGACACCTCCTTCAAAAAAGACTGACGGTGAAACGTCACTATGACAAGTCCAGCCGCGCGCTGCAGCCCCTCCAAGAGGGACAGGTCGTCCGCATGCAAACAGAAAGAGGCTACAACAAACTTGGCACTGTGACAGATGTGTGCAAGGAGCCACGATCCTATGTCATCCAGGCCAACGGCAAGACATACAGGAGAAACCGCCGCCACATCCTCCCTGTGGCAGAGCCCCCGCCACCTCTGAGCGAGCCCCACGACCCGGGGTGGCAGGACGCCGGCTGTCCCCCAGTGGGGGACACAACACGACACACATCGGAGCACGACGCCCCAAGCCCACGGCGGGCTGCCATCCCTCCTCCAATGGAGGACACGACACACGCACACCACGCTCCAAAGCCCAACATCCCAAGCCCACCACCCCCTTTCACTCCTGACTTACCTCCGCAGGCCCCCATCCTGCATGGCGGACTATACACCACTCGTTCGGGTCGCACCTGCAGACCCAATCCAAAATATTTGTAAAAAGCTTTAAAAAAAAAAAAAAAAAAAAAAAAAAAAAAAAAAAAAAAAAAGGATGTTACTTATACAGTATTGTCTGTCATGTATTATACTGTTTATCTCTTTATATGTTTATTACAGTATTGATGAATCCCAGCAGGTTATCTACCAGATAGTGCAATGCTTCATTTGTTTCTGCCAGCATCGTTAAACTTCAGTAGTTATCCCTGGTTGCTATGTGCACCCACTAGTTAGTGGGGCACACCTGTTAAGTGCAGTTACATTTAAGACGAAGATGAAGGACCAGTCCTCGATCGGTTTGTGGTAATGAAAAAAAAAAAAAAAAAAAAAAAAGTTTTTCTGTTTCTTCTTGTTCTGTAAATTTAGATTATTAGCTAAAGGGAAAAGATGTAGATCATTTCAGAAATGACTATACACTGTTTGTCCAACACTGGCCACCGTACTGTATTGTATGCTCGGTGACGTCACCGGTTCCTGTATTCTGTGTGAGCAGCCGTTACGGCAGTTAGTAAAGAAAAAAGCTACAGCTACACCAAACTCGTCTCTATCGTTTATGGCCGACAGAAGAAACTTTTTACACACACTTTAGCTTAATCAACAATGTCAGGAAAAATTATACATGTTGTACAAAATTGTACATATGATTCAATTTAGCTATAAAAAAATTGAAGACCATATTCTAATCCATCCATCTTTTGAGGAACTGACCTTTTAGGAATATTGCAGGCCTCGTTGGAGAACCTCATCAGGCGGCCCTGGATCTCAATGCCAACATTAAATGCAAGTAAGAAGTCAAGGCCGCTGGGTTTCCTGCTGGCTGGCATCATGTCACTGAGAGCGAACACAGCAGGAAGGACGGCTCCTGATGGATGAGTCGCTGGATGCCAGGTATCATCAAAGTCCATGGAGTGAGTCTGCAAGAATAAAGACAGCTATAAATCAACCTGAAAAATATAAGAGATGAATAGGTAGTACTGTTTTATTTATTTTATTTATTTTCTCATTTACTTAGTAATTAATAAATAAAGTAGTTCTTAGTGATAAATTTGGGGTATTTATTTTTTTCCTTGTAGATTTAGTCATACAGGATCAAAACCTGTAATGTTAGACACCTTTGCCAAAGGTTAAAAAATAAAAACTTCTACATTTTACTGTTTGAGCTTGCAATGCTTTTTGTCTGATTTATTTATTAATTTTTTTTTAACAAATATTGTCAAATATTTGCAAAAATAGTATGTCATAACCACACCCACCGCAACTCCATTGACAAAAGCTGCCAATATTGGGGAGAGTCTTGTGCCCCTGCGTCCATACACTGAGCTGATGTGATCAGGGCCATACATGTGCTAAAGTTAAAGGAAAAGACAGTGAACCATAATTTGCAGTGATATCTGTATAAAACTTTAACATTTAGTACTCACCTAAAAAAAGAAACAAAAATAAAAAACAAAACAAAATGAACAAAAAAACCAACAACACCAAAAGAAAATATCAGAACTAAAATATCTGAATATATGTAAAATTCTATTTTTAATTAAGGTGCAGGGGTGTGTTTCAAGTCACACTTCACAGCTCAGAAAACCTGGTCATCGCATAGACAAAAATAATATGCACATTACGTAACTAAAGCAGTAAATTAAAAAGCTCATGTTTAAGGAAAAAGAAAAACATTTTAGAAAGTCAATATTATATCTTTGTCTCACCTTGCAGTGCTGTAGAGCCATTTCAAACACCTCAGTAGTGCTACCGATGAGACCCACACCAATGCTGTCCAGCACCATCCTTTTACTGCGGTGAAGAACCACAGGGGACAGGTGCTCAGATTTAACCTCACTGATAAATTTCCCAAAACTTGCAGTGACTGTCTCCTCAGGAGCTGGGCTTCTCAACACTGCTGAGGGGAAATATAACACAAATAAATGTATCTGCTTTCTCATAGTTAATTAAGATGTCATAAACAAAGTTCACAACCTCTATCAAAAGTAGAATATTTTGTTTTGCACTGTTAAAAAAGCAAACATTTAGGGTATAAAATTATACAAAAACATTTATTGGTATAATTGAGATTAACATTAAGGCTATTGTCTGAATATTTGCACTTGTTCCTTTAAGAATCAAAAACATTCAGCTGTTATGCACTTTGAAAAACCATGTTCAATATATTCTAAGCTGCTATTATACAGAGCAAAAAAAAAAACAAAAACAAAAAAAAACCACCTTTCACAGCAGAGCTGTAGACTCTACCTGCAGCTTGAATCGGTCTGATTGTTTTCTGAGGAAGTGAAACAGAAAAATATAAAAATTATTTTACGCAACATTTGTTACGTAAGTGAAAAGCTTATCTGAATAGTTTCTGGCTACCACCAGACACAGGTGAGGTGAAGTAATTGCCTTGGAAGACAATGGAATTATAGTAACAAACATTTCTACACCTGTACTACTGTCTAGCCAGTTTCTGCCTAAATAGAAAAAGTCTGTTTAAAAGCTTGTTTAATTTTTTTAAAACAGCTATAATAGCAAACATTTAAGTGTATTCATAAATTATGTAAATATTTTTTATACCTGCAGCTTGAACATGATGCCCTCTACGTTTCTTTTTTTATATTGCGTTCTAACCTCTCTTGAAAAACCTAAGTCCCCTTAGTACTCTTTTTTCTACACTCTTAGCTGAGTGTCAGAATGATGAGAGTGACACCTTATATAGCCCAGGTACCAAAACTTACCTAAGAACAAGGAAGGGGGTGGGAATTTCCAGTTCTCTGTGTCATTTATCCTTAAAACATCCATTGATGGACAGTAATTTCATTGTCAGTGTGATGTTAATCAGCTAAAGACGTATGTTTGGAACTCCTCCTACTTCAGCAGAGTCTTAAATGGGCCAATCCTGCATCTCTGCATAAGAAGAGCAGAGCATTTCATCTAGAAGCATCCTAACCAAGTAAGGCTTTGTTTCTTTATGTGATGCTGTTTGTAACAATTTTTTTCTTTGGTATGAAATATGAAAACATACTTTGATCAATAGATTCAAAGGTTTATGTGATTCTATATTAACACCACTGATTAGAAAAGCAAAGACCATTCATCTGTTAATGTGACATGTATATTATCTATTTTGACTAAGAGTAATTAATGTAAGGTTGTTTGAAACAGCTATGAGTAACAAAAGTACCATGACCTGTAAACTCACATTTAACATAACATTTTACTATTACGTTTTTTCAGCTGTCTTTTTTTTAGCAAATATTTTGTGGAAGATATTCATTAAAATTAAGTGATTTTAGAATTAAACAGGCACTATATTAATCCACCAATCACTGTTCTTCAAAGAAAATAAAACATATATTCTATACTGAGTGTGTGGAAATACGAATAAAAGCAATATAATTTTGATCATAATTAAAACTGTGAATCCTCAATCCAAAGGTATAAAGCTGAATCAATGAAACACAATGTTGTATGATCAATGTGGATACTTATAAACAGAGAAAATATTTATGTATTATTTTTGATGTACTCAATCAGAAAAGAAAAAAAGCATCATGGCAGGATCAGATGGGTTTCCTGCCAGTTTCTATGGGGAACCAGGAGTTTTAGGCATGCTGTCAAATGGGATCAGTGCATTCCTTGTACTACTACAGAACTTCCATACAGCTCACAATGGCAAAGCTCCAGTCGGAGTAGAGAACATTCTTGCAGGTAAAATTAGGTGATAATTGATAAGAGAAAGCATAGTTAAAAGAACCAAGAAGGTAGCTTACCCAATTCTGCAACCATTTTCCAGGTGTACATCTCATCCTGATTGGTGGGGTTTGCCAGTTGGTGGCTGGACTGCTCTCCTTCCGTAAATACGACCATCTGAGCGGTACTGCTTTCATTGGCTATGCTGCTCTTTGGGGCAGTTATGGTGCAACCAGAATCTACTATGGTGCCTTGTCTGAAAATCCAAATATGACATCAACAACAGATCAGATGCTGAGCAATTCATCCTTTGACATGATGAGCAACATGTCTCTCAATGATTCCAGGCAGTGCTACTTATGTCTGTCCATAGAAGAGTCAGCCATTGCTGGGCTAGTTCCCTACATCCTGCTCTCATTTCTTCTTGCATTTTGCTCTGCCACAGTCAACTACATCATGCCTTTTGTTTTTGGAGCCATCACAGGCACTTTGATCTTTGAAGCAGTTGCTCTGGCAGCAGACTCCTGGGCTCTGATAGTCTCTGGGGTTCTGGAGTTACTAATTTTGATGTTTGCCATCTATGGTTCAGCTGCTCTTCTCATCAAAGGTCTGACTCAGCGTCTAGCCCTGAAAGGTTTTGGGACCCCTCTCTTTAATGTTCTTCTACTAGGGACCCCCAACACAGGAAAAGCCCAGAGTGGAGGTCAAGAGAAAAAGAAAAACACAAAATATGCAGAACCAATGGCTCTAGGTTACTTCTGTGACTCCATTGCTCCATTCATCTTTGCTTTCTACAGCTTTGGGTACATGAAATCATTTGGCTTAGGGGTTGCATGGGTCTCAATCATCTCAGTTGCCCAGCTGTTCTCCAGCTACTATGCCCATCTGCGCCAAGATTGCTACCACACCACAAAGTTTGGGTTCCATGCCACATATTGGCTGATCAAAGCTTGGGATGAGTTTGTTGTGTCTGTTCTAATAGTGGAGGAGAGTAAAGTTGTCTCTGGCAGGGAAGCAATGGTAGGAGACTGGTTCTTTGTGGCGGCAGCCTTGGTGCTCTGTGTGGGGAGCCTGAACATGGATGTCCTGGAACTGATCCATAACTTGTTCTTTGTCCTTCTCACCATCTCTACAATCCCTCAGATCCCACTGCAGGGTTACTACATCTTCTTTGGTGTAGCTTGTTCTCTCTTCACTGCAGTCTCTATCTATGGGACCTTCACCCGTCTCATCAACACCATTGCAGAAAAGTCTCTCATACCTGTAGGACCTCAGCCAGTGTCCTCTGAGAAATTGAAAACTGCTTTAGGATGTAGATCCAAACACGGAGATCAGGATGTGCTGTCACAAACTGATCAGACCTCAGATGCTCTGTTCTATCTTCTAAACGGGGTTACAGCTCTGTCAGCTCTTCATTCAAGAAAGATGAGTTTGAACCCTTCCCTCCTGCACCTGACCATCCCCTGGGTCCTGATATCTGGAGCCATCATCCAAGCCTATGTCAGCAGGTTGCAAGTGACAGGAGGCGGCCGCTTTGGATCAGTCATCTCCTCAATCTATGTGGTTGTCTGGGCAACATGGACATGGTTTAGATTTGCAGGTATGTTATTGCATTTATAAAACAAGCATGCCAACATTTGATGCTGTTTACCAGGAATTGCATCTCAAGTTATTTTTCTCTCCAGGTAACCAGCTTGAGTTCTCCACTGAGGCAGATTATGGTTTTACAGCAGGAGCCATCGCCTTCCTGGTTATTAATGCTTTCCTGATATTGATTGGTAAGTTTTATCACATCATTTTCAATTTTAGATGTTTGTGCATTGTTTTCTTTTGACTAGTTTGATAATCTTTTGTTAACTTTTCCAGCTGCCTATAAAAACTTGGTTCTTCTGATTCTAACTACACTCATGGAGGTGGTTCTTGTCTGCTTCCTTCTCTCCACTCTGCACAAACTGCCGTATGAGCTTGAAAGTAAGTTAGTATGAGCCTCATATACCAAAAGTTGTTTTATTATCCTAATGAATCTTTATTAGCTTTGCCTTACAATGTACACATATTGATACTATTTCCCCTCACAGTAGCTATGCTTGCATTGGTGTCTCTCATATGCATATATGGAACTTTGGCTTCGTTGATTAACTGCATTTTCTCAACAAGAGTGTTGCCAATGGGACCTCCCATTTTTAAGGTAAATACTCCAATGACTTTTTGATCCTGAATACATAAATCATTCAGTACATTCAGTACATGCATTGTATTACTTCTGCTTTTAGGAAAAAAATAAATCAGAATTAGATCAGGAGACACCCTGTCCAGTGGTCAGCTCTCGCCACACCAGCGGCCTGTTAAGAATAGCTGGGCTTCTGGACGACGGAGGAGTGTGCGGTATTCCCACAGACACTGTGTATGCTCTGGCTGCCTCCTGCAAGAATCCCCAGGCAATTGAGAAAATCTACAACATTAAGGTAAAAAAAAGTGTACTGATAATATACATTTTTGAAGTCTCTGTCTATTGTGGTATTATTATAACATGACCTTTTTCCAGGACCGACCAGCAGAGAAGCCTATATGCATTTGCATTTCCAGTGTAGAGCAGCTGGTGGCAGCCAAGCCTCCTTTCAGCCCTCTGCTGTGGGAGTTCATGAGGAATGTTTATCCAGGAGGCATCAGCTGCATCGTCAGCAAAGGAGACTGGCTTTTCCAGCTTGGTAACATCTCTAACAAATTAATTCATTAATTTCCTGGCTTTTTAAAAAAAGATTTAGTCAGAATAAGAACATTTCAAAATTGCATGAAAAAGAAAATGTTCACAATGTTATCACAGACAAATAATGAGAAATAATTTGGATTTTTTTAGGAGTGGGAGCAGCTTATGACCGTGTTGGTACCAGGGACAGCATCATGATCCGTGTCCCTGATCATACGGTGACCTGCCACTTATGTGACATGACTGGACCACTTGCCATCACATCAGCCAATCCCAGTGGAGAACCAGACAGCACCCACCACAGCATGGTCATCAAGTAAGACACTGTACTCCATGAAGCTAGTGGAATATCTTGCTTTACATGTCTTAGCAGACGCATATTTTACACACTCACACACACACACACACACACACACATATATATATATATATATATATATATATATATATATATATATATATATATATATATATATATATATATATATATATATATATATATATATATATATATGTGTGTGTGTGTGTGTGTGTGTGTGTGTGTGTGTATACATAAGCATATTACATACAGAATAGCCCATCAACTATATCATCCCATTGCAATACATAAAAAGCAGTAACCTTACAACAAACATCAAAACTCATTTCAATAATGCAAACTTGGCCTCATTTTAATAATTTGCAACTTGGGAAAATCCTTTACTTAATGTGTCAAATATATGTGTAATTTATTGCACTAATAATGTTGTTCCATCAGAGCTCTAATTGTGTGAAATGCTTTGATTTACTCTAGTCGACTTGGGCACAAAATCCAAGGGGTTCTCTGTGATGGTGGCTCAAATGAGGTTGTTGCTTCCACTGTGGTCAACTGTCTGAGGATTGATGAAGGTAAAACTTGCAGACATTCATGATTAATTTGTTCCAGATTCAGCCCTGGCATTTTGCATAACTAACTCAACTAACTAACTGTTTCCGCAGGAATCATCAGTATTGTAAGGGAAGGTTGTGTTCCTGCAGCAAGGGTTCACCAGATCTTTGACAAAGTGAGAAGTACTATGTTATGATCATCAGTTTCTGAAAGACTTCAGTTTAATCCTGATCTAACATGTTCTGCAGCAGTATAAGTTCTGCTCTTTTTTTTTCTATGTGACCTTTCACAATGAAATCTTTGGTGGAGCTTTTCTGCAACGTCATTCCAAATTATGTTTATGTTTGTATAGGATAAATAATAATAATAAAGAATAAAGATGTACTTATAATTTTTTATTCTGTTGTGAAATAAATTATATTGTCTGCAGATGTTTTTTTAAATAGGCGGAGCAACTTTGAATAAATAAACACATTAATTGTAAGTGTTTCATTCCTTTCTTACATCTTTAACCCTGACTGAACTGGAAAAGGAAATGTCGACTACAGTTTATTTATCCAAGGTTTATTTCTAACATAAAAGATCCGGCAAGTTTTAGCTTAAGATTAAGACTGCTGCAACAGTCAGATCAACATCTGCCAGTTTTCCTGCTCTCCGAGCATCCTAATCAACCAATAATCTTCATCAAGGTCATCCAGCTGCAACCCACCTCCACCCCCTTCACCACCCTGGTCTACCTACATTCCACCATCAATGTTCAGGCCTGGGGGAGACATCTCTATTATCATAAATCTGCCCATAATGCCCATACTCATCATGTCTTTTTTCAGTGTCTGGCCACCAAAAACATTTATTCATGTCAATAAACTTCCTTTCTCTCCTTGGAAGTCTCTCCAGGTTGAAAAATGATTTCCACAGAGTTATGGGCTTAAGCCATCTAAATTTTAACTGTAGTCCACCTTGGCAAAAACAGAAAAAAAAAAAACACACGTTATTGTAAGAATGCAGACATTGTTAATAAAACCTGAAAAACAATGTGATCAGATAGTGAATTTAAAGCTACAAAGACTGATTGACTTGTAACTTTTAGATTTAGGAATGTAGAAAAAATCACAGCAACACTTGAGTCAGATTTTGTCTTTTGGTTCTCATTCTCATTCTTCTAAGGGCTATCTTCTTTCAAACAACCCCTATCTGATAAAAAAGAGCTATCCTACTAATAAAGGCTAGATATTTTTTAACTAATCCCTTACAATTTTTTTTGTCCTCCTGCTATTGTTTGTTTAACTAAGACTTCCATCATAGCCCTTTCTTTAAAAAAACAACAAAGGTAAACACTTCTACCCGAAATAACCTGTATGACAAAACTATGGTGAAGAGCACCATAGAACAAATATAGGTTAAGGATAATGCTGTGGAGGAGCTGAAAAATGCGATTTATGAAAAAAAAAACCTGAGGTCTGTCACCATGCAGAGGTCTGTCACCACGCCCACTTCTTCCCAAAGACCTGAGTTTGGTGCACCGGTCATCTGCTCCTGTAGCTCCTGTAGCTTGCTAAGAGAGAAGGAAAGATGAGGCATTAAGCTCTTTCACGATGCAGTCACCACTTTGTAGTTCTTCTCATTTAGAGCAGATGGAAAGGAATCCGCTTCAAAAGGAAAGGTGGGTCCTGCCGCTGCAACTGTAGATTTCTGTGATGGGTGCAGGTGAGAAGCTAGCAGCGGTTCCACGGGAGGTAAATGTCTGAAGCTGCTGTCCTCCATACCACCCCAATCCAGCGCCGACGCTCTCAGGATGGGGTTCTTAACCCTTTATCGGGCAAGTTACCATATTTGAGCACTTCCGGAGACCTTCTAAATGACGTCACTGCGGCCTCGCGCATACTTGTGGAGTCACGTGATTTGGCCCAGCCAATCAGCAGGGACTAAGCTTGTTACGGTTCGCGCCATTGCGCCGTTCGACCAATCAGCGCGTGTCTGTGACGCGCGAAACGTCAGTGTTTTCCCGGGAGCAGGAAATCACCACTTCGCGGCTTGATTTCTCTAGCGTTTTCACTCGGCTCTCCAAAACTAACCATGGTAAGTTTATTAAACTTTCACATTACACGGTTGAGAAGTTGTACTAAATGATGACAGACATGTTTTTTTCGTGAGACTTTTGGAAATTGGCGAAATCATAGCATGAAAAACAGGGAGCACATATATGTGCATATGCCCAAAACAAGTAAAAACAGACCTGCATCAGTTTCGCCTACTTTAACTCATATGTTCTTTGTTTCTAAGCCACATTTTTGAGTTTCTGTTTACCAAACACGCATTATAACCAACAAATAATACATTAGAATCTTATCTGATGCTTTTAGAAGCTTTTATAATGATTTATTCACATATATATCTCACTTCTAAAGATTATATAGCTAAAAATGGTGAAAATAAGTGATTTTGGATGTTTTTGTATTATATTTTGTATCACTTAACTGTTATTTTATGTCTTAATAGTATTATTATTTATATTATTAATTGTTTATATTGAATAAGTGATATTATGACTAGTTTTAGTGCTTTTCAAGTATATGGCATATTATTATCCACATAATGACAGTAGCAGTAATAAAAATATACAATAATTATAATATTTTTCTGTTGCAGATTTCAACAAACATGTTTTATGGAAAGAGGAAGGCGGTTGTGATTGTTCCAGCCAACCCTGCCATCAGCGATGACGAAGAGGATGAGGAAGATGATGTGGAGGTCGATCCTGATTACATTCAATTTCAATTCAGTTTATTTATATAGCGCCAAATTCACAACACATGTCATCTCAAGGCACTTTACAGTTCAACCAGATCATACAGTCATTCCAGTCAGCCACAACCTGGACACTCCCACCACAAGTGAGATGAGTCCTCCTGCCAAGAGGAGACATGTGCAGCCTGCAGTGGAGGTGCTTCAGGATGGGGAAGATGAGGATGAAAATGAAGATCAAGATGAGCAGGTTATACCGCAAGCTAAGGGTCCCACTAAACCCAAACCCAGACCCACCACCTGGAGGAAAACCAAATTAAGAAATTCACCTCTGCCTGAGTACCAGCACTCTGCTCCCAACTTTATTGGGAAACCTTTTGTGTACTTTTTAAGATACTTTACCCCACAATTCATTAGCCACATAACTTATCACACCAACCTGTACGCCAGTCAAAAGGACATTAACACCACCTTCACCACCAATGAGGATGAGATGATGAAATTTGTAGGAATTCTCATCTACATGGGCATGGTAGAACTGCCATCTATAGATGACTACTGGGCCATGGACACCAGGGTTCCTCAGATTGCCAACATCATGTCATCAAAGAGGTTCAGGCTGCTCAGAAGGATGATCCACTTCAATGACAACACCCTTATCCCTGGCACCACTGACCGCTTCTTCAAGGTCCGGCCATTGTTCACCTTCCTCTGCAGTGCCTTCAGAAGTAAGGAGCAGACCCCGAAGCAGTCAGTGGATGAGGTGATGGTTGCCTTCAAAGGGAAGACAGCTGGGAACTTGAGGCAGTATATTAAAAACAAGCCTGACAAGTGGGGGTTTAAGTTGTTTGCCAGGGCCTCCGAGGATGGATTTATCCATGACATGGTCCTATACCAGGGCAAGACTACGCTGGAGGCCCATGGTGTCCCCCTGACACCTGAACAAAGAGCCTTGGGCGCCACCAGCCAGATTGTCTCTGTCCTGGCCAGTACCATGTCATCCTCCACCACAACAGCCATCTTCGCTGACAACTTTTTCACCAGCTTGGAGCTAGTCCGGTACCTCAAAACTCAGAACTGCAGGTAACAATTACTTTCTGTGAGTGAGTGAATGAATGATTACATTTATGTTGCACTTTACTGCTGGATATGTAACCCACTTACATTGGATCCATTATTCATCCATTCCATATTTATGTGTTCAGATACACAGGAACTGCAAGGGACAACAGAATTGGACATCCTCCCCTAAAGTCCATCACAGAGATGGAGAAAAAAGGTGTCCCTCGTGGGACCTGTCACTCCGTTGTCAGTGATGATGGGATCCTGGTCCTCAGGTGGAAGGACAATAAAGTTGTCACTCTGCTTTCGACAGACATGGGAGTGGAACCTCTGTCATCTGTCTACAGGTATTGTTTATTTTAGTTTTGTCTGATTGTGTTGTTCCTGTAGATGTCAGTGCTGCCTTTATATTTTTTTTTTTTACTTAGCCATTTATTTTCCTCCATTCATTTATATTTTTACACTTTTTATGGAGCTGTTACAACACCAAATTTCACTAATGGTGATCAATAAAACAAAATCGTGTTTTAGGTTCTCCAGTGAATCCAAAAAGAAGGAACCTGTGAGCTGTCCTGCAGTCATCAAAAGCTACAATTCCAACATGGGGGGGATTGACAAGAGCGACATGTTGGTGCACCTGTACCGCACCCCCATGAAGTCCAAGAGGTGGTATATACTCTGTTTGCATACACTATTGATCTGGCCATCTCAAATGCCTGGCTGATGTACAGGCGGGACTGCAAGGAACTGAAACTGGACAGCCAGTCTCTGAAAAGCTTCCGGATCGAGGTGTTCAAGCATGCCTCTAACCAAAGGCTGTCTGTAGTTCGCTCAGGAAGAAGCTCTGACAGTCTGAGAGCTGCCTTTGATGTTCCCAAGCCAGTCCGAGGACATCGCTGCTCCAACCCCACTGAGGCTGTGCGTTTCGACCACTCCGTGTTCCACGTTCCTGTCTACACTCATCGCCAAACATGCAAGTACTGCAGCAGGAAAGACAACATTGCAAGGTCCAATGTTTTCTGCGGGGTTTGCAAGGTCCATCTCTGCCTAAATGCAACACGCAACTGCTTTGCTGAGTACCACAACCCTAAATAAAGATAGTCAATAGATATTTAGAAGGCAGTAAGGCACTGAACGTTCTAAAATACTGTGAAAGAACTTTATTTCACAGTATTTTGGAACATTCAGTGCCTTACTGCCTTCTCAACATAAATTTATGTTCTAAAATGCTGTGAAATAATCAAAGTTGTATTTATGTTGAGAAGGCACTAAGACACTGAATGTTCTAAAATACTGTGAAAAAATAAAGTTTTATCTATGTTGAAAAGGCACTAAGCCACTGAATGTTCTAAAATACTGTGAAATAATAAAGTTTTATCTATGTTGAAAAGGCACTAAGACACTGAATGTTCTAAAATACTGTGAAATAATAAAGTTTTATCTATGTTGAAAAGGCACTAAGCCACTGAATGTTCTAAAATACTGTGAAATAATAAAGTTTTATCTATGTT